GGATAATTTTGTCAAAAAAGTCAAAGCATTCACAGCAATTTGTCGATCGATATAGAGCAGGGAAAAGCTGTTGTTATTGTGGAAAACTTTGGTTGACTCTGGAAAACGTCTAGAGAGGTTTGACCTTACCGAGGCCTAGGAAAGACCCTCTAAACTTTGGCATATCCGGAGGTTAGCGCTATTTTGAAAGATGTCCAGCTTTTCCAGAGCTTCTCCTATAGGTCTCGCATGTTGCCCTCCTTATTCCAAAGCCATATGTGCACCGAAGGTCCCTCTGGAATTCCCCTCAAATGCGGCCTGGTTTCGAAGACCTGCTCCAATGCTTTGTCGTCATTACGTCCACACTTGCCTCTACCTACAGCCTTGGAATCAGGGGTTTGGTGAGGCCAATTTGAAGGGGATCAGTCCCGATAAGGAATATCCTTGAGATTGTTGCTTTTGATATCTCCGATGGTGCCAGACTTGTCTGGGAGGATAATAGCACTGCCTTGTACATCGGCTGGCCCCTGCAAGTCATTTTATAGTCACTGATAAGCGTTCTCAGCGACTTCAATCGACACGTACCTAAACCAGTTTTGGAATAATTCGGTCAAAAAATCAAAGCATAGGCCAAATCGGATTCAATCGTCACTACGATTCTTAATGGAAGTAGAATGCATGGCACACCCAGACCGGGATTGATCAGCGCCGGATCCTTTATCTTTTTTCCTTCACTCCTGATGTTCAACTGTTCACGGAATTCATGCCAATGAAAAGTGAACGTTTGTAGAAACGTTTCCGAAATCAATATTCCCGGATTTTTTTTCTCTCGGTAACTGGTTCGCAATTCTACTCAAACACAGGGGCGGCTTGTTGGAGGGGCGTGTGTGTGTCACGTCGGACGCTGGCAAACACCCGATGTATTCCAGGAATAAGCCGGGGCATGCTTGAATTTCTTCTACACGTCTTACAATCGGAGCGGCTCCGGCGATCCTCTACATATAACGGCGCAAAGTGCGGCCCCGACGGGCGGCACAGCTGTCTCATCGCTATGGCATGTAATATATGCGTAAAACGACGCACGCGCGGCTGTACGAATTGATGTGTCGAAGTACCTGGCAGTACATAAACCAGCAATCGTTCTGTTACGGGGATAGAACCTATTAACCTACTGGTAAATTACCACTAGAGAGCAGTTCACCACGCTATAGGTTCTTAAATATTGAAATAATGCAGTTTTATTACCTTTGAGCTAATCGATAGCGACCCTGAAATTATGATAGGTGTTTTATAGGGTATAGACTATATAGGGCATAAGTATTAGCTCTAACAAGTTCCACTGGATCTCAACAGTCGTGGTAAATTAAGGACCCTCACGTCAACCCTGGCCTGGTAACCCTACCCAGCAACTTTACCTTTTGCTGACCTCTACCGATCACTTTGGAAAGGTGTTAGAGAAGAGGCGATTTTTTCTTTCCAAAAACCTCAAAATTTTGAAATCTTCAAAAATCAAATCCCCCACACTTTGCACTTTCTTGGCCTGGGGATATCGATTGCCTCTAGAGCTTCCACTTTCTTTTCAACTCGTCACTGGGCAAATTAACGGCATTGCTTCGCGATGTCCTATAGTGCTGAGCGCTGAAAATTCCCCAAGGGTATGGCCTTATTTCCTAAGTATCTCCCACACATATGTTGTAAAGACTACGGCACCTACAGGCCGAAGCTGAAGTGGCAGCGTTGAATCGCCGTATTGTGCTGGTAGAGGAGGATTTGGAACGTACCGAGGATCGTCTGAAGATTGCCACATCCAAATTGGAAGAGGCATCAAAAGCGGCCGATGAGGCTGAACGGTTAGTTGTTGATGATTTTTGTTCACAAATTCCCCGCTAATCATTACAGGCTGAGGCAGAGGTAGCTGCCCTGAATCGTCGTATGACTCTTCTCGAAGAAGAGCTTGAACGTGCCGAAGAACGTTTGAAGATCGCCACCGAAAAACTCGAAGAGGCTACTCACAATGTCGACGAGTCCGAGCGGTTGGTGGCGATGGCCAACGTGCCCGCCGGCTGCCGACCGCTTGCCCATGTCCTCGAGTGCTCGTCAAATTGTGATTCGCTAATTCGCTTTTTACTACGCGTCAAAAAGTCCTTAGCTGTCCATTGTGACATACAATATATGTGTAGATAGATTGATCGCAAAAATCAGGTGGGCGGGTCGTGGCACCAGCGGAACTTGGCACCTTTCCAACAGTGCTGTGCTTAATTGGTTTGCCATGGCGCGCCAACAGATTTATGCGATCATAAACAGAGTTCAGCGAAGTGTTTGTTTATGTTGTCCTGTGCCAGAGTGTCCAGTTGATTTTGTGTTGTCTAGCGCTCGTAAGTCGATGGAGACACGTTCACAAGCTGATGAGGAGCGCGCAAACTTCCTCGAAACTCAGGTCGACGAGGCCAAGGTGATCGCCGAAGATGCTGACCGCAAATACGAAGAGGTCCGAACCAGTTCTGGATGACTACTTTTCCCCTGAATGTCTACGTGTGTGTGTACAGCCCCCCAATCTCAGCCCCGCATGTGGAATTCTCGTCTCGGACGGATGGAGAACTTCTTGTTGTTGTTTACACTTTCAGCAGCTACCATTTCCAACTTCTCCTACAGCGAATTTCAACAACATTTTTAACATTTCCTTGATCTTTCTACAGATCTCTGATTTGAGTGTGGGTGTGTGAAACTAACTATTTCGATTGTACAGAGCTCGAAGATCGTTGGAGAATCGCGTGGATGTTGATGAAGATCGTTGTGCTGAGCTCGAATCGAAACTACGTGAAGCTCAAGCTCTTCTGCATGAAACAGAGAGCAAGAGTGAAGAGGTATTTGCCGTGCTAATCTGATTAACCTGACTATCGCTAAAGGATCGTGCTCGCTGATCAGCAGCAGCTCAGCCTTAACTTTTTATGTGTACTTTCCGTGTTGTACTCAGTGTTTGTCTGTCATACACACCGAATCGGTCACTGCAAGCAAGCGGGAGGTATGCAGGGCCTTTTTTATATCGCTTTCGCTGTCATCATCCACGCCAAGTGGGGTCAAGCACCGTCGAAAGTGTCTCGCCACTTTTTTGAACTTGCGACAGAGTTTTTTCCACGAGGGTTAAAAACTGGGTGCTGACTAAATGGGAAGCAAAAACCTCTCAGGCCCTTGAAGATGACCTGCTTGACCCCACGATGGCCGGGTTTGATGAGCACGTGTAGAATAGCCGTTAACTACCTGCACATTATGCACAAAAATTGGTTCAGTGTACGCAAAGTGATGGAAAACCGCTCATTCCAAGATGAGGAGCGTGCCAACACGATTGAAGCTCAGCTGAAGGAAGCCCAGATGCTGGCCGAAGAAGCCGACCGAAAATACGATGAGGCGAGACACCAGAGCGAGTCTCACCTGAGATGCAGTGATCGTAGTTCTAACCCCCGGTCTTTAACCGGGTTACTTATACAGCATGCTTTTGCCAGTCCAATAACCCATCGTCTAAGAGTGTTTTATGTACAGCTTTGATGACGCGGATGATTACTCCAAGAGTTTTTAGGTCGCCCGTAAGTTGGCCATGGTTGAAGCCGATCTCGAGAGAGCCGAGGAGCGTGCCGAAGCCGGAGAGAAGTGAGTTTTTTGTCACACTTTTTCAGCTTCACTTGCTTCACTTTTTACGCATCGCGCTTAGGGTTAGGGATTTAAGCTTCTTAAATTCATATAAGACCCGACAGTAACCGTTAGTATAGCAAGATCGTCGAATTGGAAGAGGAACTGCGTGTGGTCGGTAACAACTTGAAATCGCTCGAACTTTCCGAGGAGAAAGCCCTCGAAAAGGAGGACATTTTCGCCGAACAGATTCGTCAACTCGACTTCAGAATGAAAGAGGTTCGATCGATTGTTCGAAACAGAAAGACGTCGTCATCGTCGTCGTCCTCAGTCGTCTTCAAACCTTACGTCACACCATCCGTCGTCACCATCGAATCATCTCTAACCACTTCTCAAACACATTACCAATTCTGAACCTGATAAGAGACCTGATAAGCAAGCTTTAACACTCTGCTTTTTCCAACTAACGAAACACTTTGTCGAATTTTCACGTCCCTTTGGCCCCTACCCACCATGGAATCCCCAACAACCTTTCGTACTAATACACATTTCTAACTAATCAGTTTTTTTTCGCGCAGGCGAGCAGTAGAGGCGGAACGTGACTTGCACTCCGTCGCCTGCACCCTTCGGCGGAAGGAGAACGTCGAGGAGATGGCGTTGCTGCGCGAGAATGACATCGCCGCTCATATCGCGGCGCTCGAGGCTCACGTCAAAGAGGTCTGAACGCATCGCCGTCGTTGTGATCGCGATCGTGTCGCTCCTGCGCGCTGTCGTGCTGCCGCATGTTGCGTAATTTTCCTGCGCGCCACAGAGCGTATCGTAGTAGTGTAGTGCGATGTGTTGTGCTCTGGTTATAGTGGTGTTTGTGAGGTAAATCACATTGTTGGTGTTCTGTCTACAGCAAGATTGTCGAATTGGAAGAGGAGCTGCGTGTCGTTGGAAATAACTTGAAGTCACTCGAAGTGTCCGAAGAAAAGGCACTCCAACGTGAAGATTCATACGAGGAGCAGATTCGTACTATCTCAGCTCGTCTGAAGGAGGTATAGCATGTCATGCCCTTTTATATCGTCCGTATAAGTCGTGTACGTCGTAAAAAAAAACATATTTTTGGTTGCATAACAAGCTCATAGAAACCTAAACTCGAGCCATGATTATCGGCGCTATCCCAAAATAGGGGGCATTGCGACGGCAGCTCATTCAAAACCGCGTCAAAGATCGTTTTTCCGCTATAAACGGGATTAATGGTAAGCCTGAGAGAGGGCACCTTCAGGGTGCGTGAAACGTTTTTATGCTTCCCGTGTTACTGCCCCCTCATAGGCTCACAAGGGAGGTCTTCCAGGGTGTGGAGCGCTTTTTCCAAAACGGTTCTCTGCATTTTGTAGGAGCTCATGCGTGGACTATAGAACCGTGGTTCAATTTGCTGAGCAGCCTGTGGATGTCAAAAAGTGGTGAAGAAATGGTCCGAAATGAAATTTCCCGTGGGGACCTTTCTGCATCCAAGGAGCTCCCAGATTTGCTCCAAAAGGTGCCAGCACCAGCAAAAAGGTGTCCATATTCACTATCAGACGACCCTGCCTTCTGACTTAAAGTTTTCCCCCCACACCGTCACCCCCCAACGCTGTGGAATCACAGGCCACTGCTCGCCACATTTTCGAACTTTTTGGCCGCCACACGGGGCCGTTCAAAGGGAAAAAACGACCTGTTGAAAGTTCCCACGTGAGATCCTCTACAGCACGAAAGACCGTCTTGAAAAAATGATGCACACTCTTGAAAGACCTCTCCTTGTTAGTCCTAGGAGATGCCCCCGTGTTTTGTGATAGCGCCAAATTACCCATTTTTCAGTTCACTGCTGTATTGACACAGTAATTCGAGAAGTACTTTCGAAGAGTTTTTATAAGCTTGTTATCTGTAAGCATGTAATCTCCTGATAGTTTTGTTACGTCGTCAGTTTTGTGCAATAGTCTTGACGACGCAAATAAGTAGAATATTTGTTCATGTTCATCACTATATTTAGGCGGAAACCCGTGCCGAATTCGCCGAACGTTCCGTGCAGAAGCTCCAGAAGGAGGTCGACAGACTCGAGGGTAAGTCTCGATGATGAATTTTGAGAATTTTGCGAAAACATCGTCTCGGGTACCCGACAGGAGGCCCGTCGCGCGGCAAGAAGGCAGAGTCGCGGACGAGTCGCAGCGCGTGATGTGCGATGTAGGACGTGCAATGGGACATTCTATTTAACTTGACGCGAAATCCCTACAGTACGCTGCGACTCGTCCGCTGACTCTGCCTTCTTGCCGCGCGACGGGCCTCCTGTCGGGTACCCATCGTCTCTAGGCCATGTCGTAGAGCAACGAATTCCTGAAATTCTCTCCGCCCACACAATTCCACTGCCTCACTGGGAATGAGTAGCTTAATGGTTCTCATCTCATCACAGGCATCCGGGGCAAATAGGAATCAGGGGATCGACTGTCTACGATTTAAGAGCCCCGTAGTTGGAACTGGTCAAGGCAGTTCCTTGATTGATGTATGTGTGTTAAAAGTGTCGTTAATGTGTAGTTAAGTGTTGTCTCGTTTATGTCTGTAGATGAATTGCTGCTGGAAAAGGAACGTGTACGTAATCTGACCGAAGAGATCGAGCAGACCGTGCAGGAGATCCAGGGATCATAAGTGTCAGTGTCGAGTTTGTCCGTCGATTATCGTGCATCGTGTGTGTACTGCCCCTCCTTCCTTCTCCTGGATTCGTCACTCTATCTAGGACTGAGCCTGCATGTCAACGATTTAGGGACATGGGGTTTGCATGAATGGCATGAAAATTGAATGCGAATGTTTTTCAAATTATTTGATCGAAGTTTCAAAATAACCAATTTTGGAGTGTTTTTTAAAACTAATCAGATGAGTTTCCTTCTTTTTTTTGCAGTGCCTTAACCATAATGTGTCAGCGTTTCAGACGAAAAAGATGAAGCTGATCGGAAGAATCGACTACTACAAGAAGAGCTCGATCATCTGCTCACCGAACTTAATGGTGTCTAATATTATTATTCAGACAAAGTGAGAGAGAAGGAACGCCTCCGCCTGAGGTGAAGCCACGCCCCCACGGCGTTTCCTTCTTCTTCTTCTTCGTCTTCTTCATCGCCATCACACAGCGTTCATACTTATCCTTAGTGCTCGAATTTTTCCACATCTAATTCACATTTCTTGGTTTTCGAATGGCAATGTCTAATGATACTCCGATGAACTGTTTTAATTTCCGGTGTGTGTGTGCGTGTGCTGCGTGATTCACTAATGAAATCTTCACAATTTGCTCCTTTCATATCGTCGTCTGATTAGGTTGTTCTGGATGATACACACGCATGCGTGTTTGGTTGTGTATGTACGTACGTCTCTTCTATGTCTGTCTATATCTCGCCCCCCCCCCCTCGTTCATCGCTCGCGCTCCTACAAATCTGTGCCCTTTTCATGCCTGAACCCCCCATATTCCCCACTTACCCCTCCCTCCTCCTCCATTCAACGCTGCCTAGACATTGTTTTGAATTCTTTCAGATGAATTGGTACATGAGAAGGAGAGATACAAGGCGATTTCCGAGGAACTTGACTCGACTTTCCAAGAACTTTCTGGCTATTGATTTCGTCATTAATTCATCCATCCATCCATTCATCCCGCGTCATCGCTGATGATTTCTCCCCTACATGTGTCTCCTCCTCTTTCCATCCGCGCTCCTTCTTCTTCTTCTTCTGTTTCATCTATCATTCGTATTGTAGTCGACGCAAACACTCGATCGTTTATACATCGCCTGAACATGTTCATAACCCCCCTTTATGTCTTATTCGGTGACTTCTCATAGCGCATTCGAGAAGCTCGCTTCACTCTACACAGTTCTGTTTTCATATAACATCTATTCGTCTTTTCATCTTCTTTTTTGATGCAGAGCAGGTCAAAATAAAGAATTGAACGAAATCACGTGCACACGCAGATATGCAGACGTGTTTGACTGGGTCATCACCACGAATTGTCTCCTACGAGCAACGGAATCCAATTAGCCACACCCAGGAACATTCACGAGAACCTGCTCTACCACCTACTTGATGTCCTTGTCGGTTGGGGATGGCCTTTTTTCAGATTTGTCAGGCTCTAATGGGTTCCCTATGAGCGATCGCACGACAATGTATGACAGTATAACAGTAACAATAGCAGTACAATGTAGGGTCAACCTTCGTGTTAGCCCTTTTCCAATAATTGTGCCCCCCACCTTA